TTGTTTTCTTGTAACTTAGACAGCGTAATCTTTAAGCTGAAAATCATATTACATAGTGTTTTAGAGTTTATTTCATGCTGCATTCATATGTTTTCATAGAATTAAATTATGAATTATAGTAAAATTATTGAAATATAAATACCATGCCGAACAAATTCTAATTCAGAAGTCAAACAACAAACTTTCCATCAATTAGCTATAAAGTTGCACATATTTTGCAGAAATTCAACGTTCGGGTTGTTTATTCTCCCATCAATAAAATTCCGAGTTCCATACTCAAGGACCCCCGGATATGAATTCCTGGGGTATTTATAGGATTCCTTGCCAGTGTGGTTTAATTTACATTGGCCAAACTAAGAGAGCCTTAAAATTTCACGTCAAGGAACATGAGGCATATGTTAGAAAAAAGGAAACGCAGAAGTCTTCTGTTGCTCAACATTGTTGGTCCGAAAATCACACTTTCAATTTTTCTGCTGCCAAAATTATTCAAAAAACATCTTCTATTGGAGAACTGGATTTTCTAGAGGCATTTCACATTCAAAAAAATCTTTCTGTTCTAGTTAACAATCCTAATTCCAATCCATCTTCGGCCTTTAAAGAAATTTGTTTTAGTTATGGTTTCATCAACAGATGGCGCCACTTGCTTATTCTTGTCCAGGCTTTCTTATCTTATCTAATCTAATTATTATTTTCTAGCTTGTTCATTTGCGGTTTTGCAGCTGAGGATGGTGGTTCGGTAAAACCATCGAAACTAGTCCTGTGAAAATTTTGAAAATACAACGCTGATTTTTGTTGTTTGACTTCTGAATATAAATGCCATTTTAAAATTTTAATGAAAAACTGTATAGTTTGACCATGTCAAATGCATCCTTTTCTGGCAGTCTGCCAAAACACTTATCATCCAGAAGGGGTGTTAATTATGTGCTGCAAGCTGAGGAGGTCAAAAGAGAGTTTGCTTTTCTTTGTAAAGAGGGAATTTGCTATCAACGAAGGAGAAAGTTTCCCATGTCAATCAGTTGTCTTTCATGCCTTTATTTCATATTTGCAGGAAAAAAACAAGAAGATTCATTTTGATTTGCAATACTGGAAACCAAAAATGCTGAAAATGTTTTTTCGCAGCCTATGAATTTTATGTGAATAGTGCATATTTCATTGCTTACTCTTAAATAAGATCCCTAAAAATAATAGAACTGTACTTTTCAGCTGAAATATTCATTCTTTAGTTAATGTCAACAAACCCTTTTGAGGGGAGGTCTTCCCTGATCATTGTTGATGTAACATAACCTTTGCCACTATTGTGATCTTTTATGTAAGACTTATTGTCGTTCTTTTTTTTCTCATATAAATTTGGTTCTCTTCCTCTATTTCAACTATATATAATAATGCTTATAGATTTTAGCCCTAGAATCAAAAACAAATAATTATAATATTGTTATAATGTAATTATAATAATTATATTAATTATTTGTTATAATATAATTAGTGTAATTAATTAAAAAACTATAATAATCATTTACTGTTGTATAATTCTTATATTAATTATTAAGAAATTAATTTTTCAGTGTATATTAATGTATACTGTGGGAAAGGGAAAAAAAAAAAAAAGTGGGGCAGTTCTATATCTCCCGTTCTACTGGGCCGATTGACAAATTTAAATTGCATTTTCCATGCCTCGAAAGCACAACCTGGAGTGTATATTAGATTTCTGTATAGCTTTGTTCTAACATAGGTATTTTGACACAAAATTCGACTTTTTCTGAGATAACGTAGGAATTTTTTTCCATATTTCGATTCTACGACTCAAACTATACCTAGTTATTAAATTTTGTAATTTTTGGTGAGAAATTTATGGTGAAATTTAAAAATTTATCTTGGCAAATATTTTTCAGTTTGTGCCAAGAATAATTCACTTGGCAAACTTCGTAGTTTATAGCAACCTATTTTCTTCTCCTTTTTCTTCATTGTCCACGAGTGAATAAAGAGTCATCGTTCATACTTTCATATTATTTTAACAAAGTGCGTAAATCACATTTGCGTTATTATCACTTATAATAAATACGCCAAATTTTAAAACATGCCAGAATGTAAATTCATGTATATCTTAGGAACCTTTGAATAAAAAATTCTAATTTTTTGCAGGTATGCTTAGAAATACATCTACTTTAAAAATAATGGCAAAACTTTTATAGGTTGTAATTAAAAATTGTTTTCGAAAAATTTATATAAATCATTTAAAAGTACAAATTTTAAAAATTAATCATAAAAAAAGGGCGAATTTTATTTGGAATGAACCTAAATTTTGAAATATGAAAGGAAGAATCAAATAAGTTTAATAAAAAAAAGAGATATTAATAAATATATATCAAATTCAATTAACATGGAGGAGCTAAAATTTTCAGACCTAATTTTGTAAAAACTACTCGTGCAATTTTTTACAGTATTTTGCAGTATCATTTTTTACAGTATCATTTCACAATAAGTCCAATTTTATGTCAAAATACCTGCATTAGAACAATGCTATATATATTAACCTAATACGTATTCTAAGTTGCGCTTTCGAGACATGAAAAACACAAGTTGAATTTCATCAATTTAACCCAGTAGAATGAGAGATATAGAACTGTCCCATTTTCCCCCCCGCAGTGTACATGTATGTATCTATCAGTGGCATGACATCAGTGGACTAGAGGGACTAGGTTAGTGCCCTAACATTTAATATATTAATACTTGAGTCTAATCTTAACACAACATTCAAAAGAATTAAAAGGAACATAATATTACCTCTTTTAAAACCACAAGTGTAGTTGGGTTTTTGTGTGAATGGGAGAAACTTGGACTATGTCGTCTGTACACCAGGAAGGTCAAGCTCACTTTCACTTGCTCCCATAGTTGCCATATACTATAAGATCTTAACTACTGGTGGTAGATTATAAGAAGTTTTAATTATCTTGTGATTCTTATATGCAAAATTAATGTCACTTTTAGTGCAGTTTTTTAGTTGGTTTTCTGGAAAATATTTTTATGATACATGAAAAAATTCAAAGTATGTTATAGTGATACCATTATTCCAGATTTAATCTATGGAAATGGAAGTGGTATAAAAAACTAGTCCTCACCCTAGATATCATTATGGAGCATGCATAAGCAACTTGTGAACTTGTTTTATGACAACATGCTCATCAGCTGTCAGTGTTTGCAACCCTAATGCCTTCAAACATCTACTCTGTCATATTTTTTAAGATAATATACAGTCAAAAGTCGTTAATTCGGACACCCATAATCCGGAATGATCTATAATCCGGACCTCAAAGCTACAAACTTTCTGCGCATGCGTCGCGTTCACGCATGCGCACAGGCGTTTAAGAGTGCGCTTAAGACCTTTACATCTGCGAATATGTTTGTGCGCATGCGCGTTTAATGTGTAACGGAGGTATAAGCTAAGCTAAAAATTCAATTAATGTTGCAGATTGCGTTGTTCCTTAATCTTCGAATTGGATCCGGCTTATTATTTTTTGCAGACTGTTAGAGCAATTTCATAAAAGTAAGCTTGAACTTTCGATTATGTCAAATAGAATTTCCGATATATATTTACTAATATGTAATTTGTATCTACAAAGCGAAAGTATGTTTTGAAATTCGAAATCTGTTTATCAATTTCACGCCGCGGATTGGAAGTTGATCTGTCAGCACTATCCTTATCTTCAGGGCAGATGTTTTATATTTTATTTGGCTTATAATTCCTTACTAAGTGTAGTATTTCATCTCGATGTACTCCGTCTTTGATATGATTTAAATCAAGTTCCTCGTCATTATAATTCGCTTCCGATAGTGAAGAAAGTGACCCAGAGGTTATTGAAAACGAAAACATTTCGATTGACAAATTAGTCGGTATTCTCGACACAGCAATTATAGGACTTGAACAACGGAACTTTGTAACTAAACAAGAAATTATGTCTGTTTAATAGAATTAAAGAGAAAGTATTATCACATGAAACGAAGCAACTTACATTGAAAGAAATGCTTAATAAAGTAAACAAATAAATATTAAGCTTTTTCTTTTTGTAAATTTTGATACCCTTTAGATTATAATTGTTCTTTATTTCATAAATTACGGTTTCATATTTTTAATTTTGTAATTTCTGCATGCCATCTTACCAGATTTAAACTGATGATCTATAATCCGGAAAAATCGATAATCCGGAATCGCCGAAGTCCCGACGAGTCCGGATTAACGACTTTTGACTGTATTTTCAGAATACAAAAAAAAAAAAAAAAAAAAAAAAAAAAAAAAAATTTAGATCTACTTCACAGGTTCTCATTTCTGTAAACATTAAATATCATTCCCCCAATTCCAGTAAAATATGTAATTTAAAAATTATTAATGATGTGTAAACTAAGAAGTGGTCTGTTTTGCTGGCCTTATGTTCTTTTGGAGGTAAAATGTTTTCAACTACTTATTTATTTTGTATGACATCCAGCAGATTAAAATAACCACCCTAAAATGACCACTTCTGAAAGCAACTAGTATTTCTGAGAATATAAACAAACACATTATTGGATTTCATCTAACTGAGAGGACTATCACCATTCTCCATGCATGGTCATCTTAGAAAGGATTATAATTTTTTTTATGGCTAGTCCCTATGGGTAAAAACAGCAACCTGCCACTTTGGCTTCTTTAGAGGTGGATTTGCATGTGCCTTTTGCACCTCTTTTCACTTTTGTAAAAGTAGCACATCAGCGAATTGCATACTAACATTTTCCAGCCTGATTCATCCATTGATTCTTTCTTGAGAATGGTGTTTCTTTCAGTGCCATTCAGTTACTAGAAAGAATACATAATAAGTAGCTTCATGTTGTTGAACATTCTTCTTTTTTTTTTTTGACTAGTATCCAGTTTAATTTATATCATGTAATTAGGACTGTGTTGTATATTGAAGAAAAAACAATAATTGGAAGTGTGCAATAAATTGGATTTTTCTCCTGTCTTTATTTCGTAGGATTCTACAAAGCAAGTGAAACAGAAACATATACTGAAGATAGTACGGGTGAAAATCATGATTATTTTTCTAAGTTGTGTTCGAGTTGGGAAGAAGCTAGTTTGCTACCTGATGATGTGAATGTTCGTCGTTTCATAGTTCGATCAGGTATATATTCTTTTTGTGTAGATATTAAATTTCAGTGTTTATATATGTGTGTATTAATAGCTGAATTTTTGCATCATTTAATAAGAAAGAATCGTGAATTATAATGATTGAGTACTGATTTTGATTTGCTTATGTGTGTGCATGTATATTATAAGTCCTATGTTGGTGAAGTAATTTTCTTCTGATGTGTATGTATGTATGTGAATTTGAGTAAGTGCATGCAGGCAAGTGTATAAAGCTGAGACATTATACAATCTTGTTATTTCATTTAATTTTTTATTCTTTTAGGAGTTGTGCTTGGTAGATCTGGAGGAATTGTAAGCCAAATATACTGGCCATTTTATTTTGGCTTGGGTGGGCCAATAGCATCAGGAAAACAGTATATGCCTTGGATACACATTGAAGATATTGCTGGCATCTTTCTCCATGGCATTCAAACTGATTCTGTTAAAGGAATTTTAAATGGTGTTTCACCTCAGATTATCACAAATTATGAATTTGCAAAAGCTCTGGCACGTGCAATGTGGAGACCTTGTCTTTTTCCATTGCCGGAATTTGCAATAAATTTAGCTTTCGGAAAAGAAAGAGCAAGTATGATGACTCAAGGACAAAAGGTTCTTCCAAAAAGAACTTTAGAGAGTGGATATGAATTCATATATCCAGATATAGAATCTGCCTGTGCTGAATGTGCACATTCTTTTATAGATCCTAGCACAAGATAGTTTTTTTTTTAAATATATTAGTAGATATTTATTAAATATGAGTATTGTGTAAAACAGTGATTAAATAAAAGTAATAACCTCACTGCAGTTTGCATTTTATTTGTGTCAATATAAAATATTTATTTAATTTACTAATTGTTTATAAAAATAGAAGGACATAAGACATATTTTGTTTGTATAACATGTGTAAATGTTTGATTAAGGATAAAAACATGGGTTTATTATCTAAACCACATGCATTATTTTAGGGGGAAATCTGATAAAAATTTAGCTATGTAAACTAGCATTACACCACTGCAAGATTTTAAAAGAATTCGATTAAAAGAACTTCAAAAATAATTTTATTAAATTTTCATAAATAATTTTAATGTGTATCTTAACACAGTTCTCTCAAACTCTAATTGTATGCGAGTGGAATGCATGATCTGAAACCAGCTGATGGGCCCGAATTTAAAAAAAAAATGTTTTTACTTAAAAAAATAAAATTAAATGAAAAAAATCTGAAAGGTGTCAGTTTCGAATTCAGAACAGAAAATTCAGTTCAATAGCAATATTGCAAAATAATTTAAAAATGAGCATATCTTTAGAAGTTCCGATGCAGTCTTGTGTTCTGGAGATAAAAATGTTTTTTTTTTCCGTATAGTGTTGCCATTGCTAGCTTTGAAATCATTTAGTTTTTTAATCAAAAATTTGTTGAATTGCTACAAAATATTAAATTGATAATAAAACAAATTTCAAATTCAAATTAGGGCTTCCATATGCCCATATTCTGTGGAAGATTACATTATTCAAATTTTGATGGCTCTAGGTACCATTGTTTTATCACAATGCGAGAAACATACATACATTTATGCAGATTCTTCTTTATTTAATTTCTTTAAATATAATGCAGGGTGATAATATTTGGTGGCAACAATTTGAAAAAAGAAACAACGCTTCTGGTGAATGAATGCAAAATGCCAAAATGAAATTAATAGTCCTTCTGGGCAAATGCCCCTTTGGACTAAAAACAAAAAATATTTTAAATAAATTTTAAATTTCGATTACAAAATCTTTATAAAAACATATACAAACATAGTAATGATATTGCAAAAGAAAAAAATTACATTTTCTAGCTGAAATCTTAAGTTTGTAAGCCATTTATGTTGTTTACACTTTGTAGTTCAAATATGATTGAATAATAAAATATGATGAAATAAAAATTAACACATTGACTGCCCAACACGAGATAACTCATATTAGTGCTCTTCTTCAGGACACCCAGTACAAGTTAACTCATAGTTTCTTGACTTGCCACTTTTGCACCGTTAGAGTTATTTACTCACTTAGCGCTTGTTTTAGCTGTACCGATGCAACAAGTCGAAGCATGTCTGTACGAATCAACTCATAGTGGGCTTCTGCGAAGAGCTTTGTCTAACAAAAGCCAACTATGAGATAATTCCTAGAACCCTTTTTTCTACCAAAAAAAAAAAAAAAAAAAAAACTGTAAACATTTTAATGATTGTTACAAATCATAATTAGTATTTTTAATAATATAATATGATTAAATCGATTTGTCTTCTTGAACTGAAATCCAAAAAGTGCCATGGCAGTCAACGTGTTAAATATTAAATTCTTAGACTGACATTTCTTTCAAGGTATTCTAACATGCTTAAATTAATCATGAAATAACTTTCTTTAACTTCATCTGAAATAAATTATGAAAACTTTTTAAGACTTAAGAGAAAATTTACCAGGAGAGGCAAAACTCGAGAATAAGCAAAAACTCTTTAACTTTATTAAATTTTTCTTCAATGCATAAATAAAAATGTATGCATTTCTACATAAATACTTACAGTGGCTCCCAAAAGTTTTCATACACTTGTAGCCATTAATTAAAAGTAAACTTTCTGAATGAGATTTTAATAATAAGATCTATAATCTATTCGTAACAAAATTACATGAAATATTTTTAAAATATAGCGAAACTTTATTTTTAAGAAATTAATAATCAAAAAATGACAAACATTTTATCTTGCAAAAGTCTTCGAACACTGAAATATTTTTGGATAAAATCAAAATTAGATTGTCGTTTGCCGCTTTTTCAAATTTTTGCATTGTGGTGGCATTTAAAAATCGTTTGTTTTCTTTTTTTATTGTTTACTTCATAATATTCTATTTATTATTGGAAAAACGGGTCGCTGTCGTAAAGAAATTACAAACAGCATTCGAAAATTGATAATTTTTCACCATAGTAGTGGTAAATCAATTTGAAATATCGATAAATTAGTTAATTTATCCCATTCTACAGTGTTGTATGTGATAAAACGCTTTAAAGAAGAAAATCGTATTGAAAACTAGGTAAGAAGAGGTCGACCGAGAACGTTAACTAAATGTGATGAGAGATTTATTATTAAAAATTTGTGAAAAACACACATTTGAGTGCTGTAAAAGTTTCTGCAGAATTTAATGCAAAGTTTTCTACTTCAATTTCACCTGAAACTGTTCGATGAGTTCTCAGAGAAGCTGGATTACATGGGTGTTCTGCGCGTAACATTTTTTTTGTTAGTGAGAAAAACAAAAAGCTTAGGCTTTCATTCGCAAAATCACTGATAAGTACACCCAAAACGTACTGGAATAATGTCCTATTTGCTGAAGAAAGCAAATTTAACATTTTTGCTTCCGCTGGTCGAATAATTGCATGGAGAACTAAAAATGACAAACTTTCATTCTAAGAAAATAGTTGAAACAGTTAAGCATAGCGGTGGAGGTGTTCTTGTGTGGGGGTGTGCAGCAGCATCAGGACTAGGTAATTTGGTGTTTATTGGTGGCATAATGAATCATTCTCTTATTTAAATATTTTAAGAGAATTTAAAATTATCAGCCCAAATTTTGGGTATCGGAAATAACTTTATTTTTAATCCTGATAAAATCCTAAGCATATGGCTCTCTCTACGTTCACCTGTGGTGTCTCTGTAATTGTCCACAGGTTTTTAAAACACCACCTCAGTTGCCAGATTTAAACTCTATAGAACACGTTTGGAAATAACTGAAGGTTAAAGTACAAAAACACGACATTAAAATGAAAAGCGAACTCAAAACAGTCATGATGGAAGAATGGATGAACATTGATACAGAAATTACAAAAAAACTAGTAAAATTTATTCCCATGCGTTTAAAAGCTGTTGTGCATACTAAAGGATATCCTACTAAATATTAATTTAATGAAAAATGAAAATATTGACTAATATGACAAGATTTTTTCGAAGTGTACGAAGACTTGTGAGATAAAATGTTTGTCATTTTTTCATTATTAATTTCTTAAAAATAAAGTTTTGCTATATTTTAAAAATATTTCATGTAATTTGGTTATGAATAGATTATAGATCTTATTATTAAAATCTCATTCAGAAAGTTTACTTTTAATTAATGGATAGAGCCCTATTTCAATGAAAATCATAAGTGTACAAACACTTTTGGGAGCCACTGTATAAACTTCTTTATTTCGTACTGTAGCTTGATAGCATTTCAATTCTGTTAATAACGTTGGAGAGAAATTACTAAAAATTTTCGTCAGTATGGATTTTAGATGTTTATCAGTCATCTAAAAGTTTAAGTCATCTAGTCTTTTCTTAATAATTTTCAGCTATGAAGAAAAAGCTGTTCATATTCCCAAACAAAACTATTATTCTTAGTGCAACAATCTGTAATTGCACTTATTTATTTTTTGACAAGTAGAAATAAAATTTAATAAAATCTGTATCATCAAATCTTTTACCAAGATTTATATCACAGTGTAAATTAATTAGCTTCATTTATATATTTTCTGATGCGTTTTTCATGTGCACTTTTAATAGAAATGAAAAGAATGTAAACTCGGATTTAAATGAACTAGTTGAAATGTTTTTGTGAGCCACATAGAATTCCCAGAAGCCGTTTATGGGCCGCCGAAACAGATAATTTAAAAGAAAACCTGTGTGCTGACATGAAACTCAAATAGAAATTTAATCAATAACTAATAATGAATTTCTTATGTTTAGTTTTGAAGTTCAAAATTTATTTCAAATGATCCTTGCGGTGCAAAATTTGAAAAGTATTCTTTTTTCTTCCTGTAATGTTTGGTTTAAGTAAGAAAAAGCATGCTTGCATCGGCCGGGAATCGAACCCGGGCCGCCCGCGTGGCAGGCGAGCATTCTACCACTGAACCACCGATGCTTGTCCAAATTCGGTGAAGATTATAAAATAAAACATACTTTAAAGGAAACATTTGGGTTACTTTATAATTTACGTAATTTATTTGAAAATTAAATAGAAATATTTCTTTCATTCAGAATTTGAAGTTTTCCAGAGTTTTTTTTTTTTTTTTATATTCCCTATTGATTATATCAGAAGTAGTTTTAAAAGTTTGGAGTTAACTACGGACTACATGAAATTATTATAAAAAAATAAAATCATTTAATGATAAAATTGATGAAGGATTTTAATTAATTTAGCATCTACAACAGGTCCTTAAAATTGTAGATAAATATATCTATAAATATATTGTAGCTTAAATATATCTTTAAACAAAATTCTAGTAGAAGTAATTATGATTGAATACCAACTGATATTATATCATGTGTTACTTTTGAATAAGTGAAAAGAATTTTGAAAACTGTTCTTATACGTATGTACAAACATTATGCATATCATGTCGTGAAAGAATATGAGCTATTAATGTCAGTAACTGCAAACCGCTAGTCCTCCTTTAAGTGGGCGTGTCCTGTGTTTAAATGCCATGTTAGTTTATGTGGGAAGTCGTTTCGCGAAGGAAATGTACAAATTGAATTTAAAGGATCAGATTTATATTCGTGATACGTTATCGTAATTTTGAAACTTAGATTAATTGGCGAATCAAAATGCGAACTTTGATCCTGAAATTTCTGTCATTTGATTATCAAGACAAGCAATGCAGCTCTGTAGAAGCGTAAAATGGCGAGTGTGCAAAGAGATCACTGGTCTCACGTGTGGTTGCAGTGCCTGTTACTTAGTCTGCTACTTTGCAGGAATGTTGTGTTACCAGACACCAATAAATATTGTAAGTTTCATATTATTAAGATTCATTTATACATGCGAAAAAATTATATTGTAGATCTCGAGAACTTTATATTCTATTAACAATCAAAATTCTTTGTGCATTTATTGTAAGACAATTTCGATTGAGAGGAGGTTATTATCAGATTCCATATATTCCTTAGAAGTTTATTCTTGCTGTATGTGTAGGAAAACAGGTTATAGAATAGCCTTAAAAATTTTAAATGTCCAAAATTCATTTATAAATAATATCCCTATGTATAGTGAGAAGTATTTGTAACTGTTGGTTATTTAAGATTGGCATATATTGAGAAATCATCCACTTCTAACAAAAATACATTATGGCAATATACAAAAAGAAAACTTTATTAAAGAAAATCAGACATAAGAATCTTACCACATTCTACCAAACCATCATAATAAAAAACTCTCTCTTCCAGATACATTTTTAACTCATTCTTTTTACAATTTTAATATCAATGTTGCCAAATATAAAATAAAACTTAAAATTATGCTTTATAAACAAATACTATCAATTCCCCCCTTATTTGTATTTAAAGATATAATTTTAATCAGTCAGTCATGTCCATACTTTAATAGTTCATCTTTTAATTTCACCCTAGGTAGATACTTTGTTAAAATATCCGCTTCTTGATTTTGTGAACACACAAACTGAGGAATGATTTGATTCATTTCATATTCATCCTTAACAAAGAAATATTTTCTATTAATGTGCCTTGAACTGCTACTTTGTTTTTGGTTTTTTAATCCAATCTATTAATGCTTGACAGTCTGTTTTAATTCCTATTGGTTTGTCAATTAGATCATCTTGACCCAATTCTTCAAGTAAAAAGATGTACCATTTAACTTCACATGCACATTCGCAGAATGCTAAAAGTTCAGCTTCCATTGTAGATAGAGCAACTATTCTTTGTTTGTTGCACTTCCAATTTATGAAATTTTTGCCTAATTTAATGAAATAACCTCCAAATGATTTTCCATCTTCAGTGGTACACCAACTTGCATCTGATGTAGCATTTAATTTCCCATTGTCTGAAGTATACACTAAACAAGTATTTTGTGTTCCTTTAATATATCTAAATATCCTCTTTACAGCTTTCCAGTGTTTCTCTCTGGGATCTTGATTATATCTTGACAAATTACTTACTGCAAAAGCTAAGTCTGGCCTTGTGCCTGTTGCTAAGTACATCAATGAACCTAATGCTTCTTGATATTTTGTCTTCGACACAGGTGGTGAAGATGCTATGTCATCAAGATTTTCACCCAATATTCCTGGAGTCTTGATAGGTTTACATTCATCCATTTCAAAGTTTTTTTTAAGATTTTAGTTATATTGTTTTCTTGACTGAGTATAAGTTTTCCAGAATTCCTAAAAATTTTTGTGTTTGAGTGATTTCTCATAATGTGAACGATTTAGATAGTTGAGAGATGATGTCATTTATCTCAGAATTTGAATTTCCAATCACCATTAAGTCATCCACATATACTGCTATGATAAAATATTTGATCTTATCTTTATAAATATAAACACATGGATCTGACTTTAGTCTAGTTAAATTCTTTTCTTTAAGAACTTTACATAATTCATCATACCAGCATTTTCCTGATTGTGGTAATCCATATATACTTTTGTTTACAAGATATACTTTGTTCGGATCTGATATAAAGCCAGGTGGTTGTTCCATGTAAATTGGTTTATCCAAGTATCCATTTAAATATGCAGTTTTTACATCGAAAAATCTTATTTTGTAGTTTTTGTAAACTGCAATCGATAGTAATGTTCTAAAGGTTGCAAGTCTCATTACTGGGCTAAATCCATCTTCATAATCAATTCCTTTTCTTTGATTAAATCCGGTCGCTACTAGTCTTGCTTTGTAAATTGTTTCTAAATTACCCTTTTCATCCCTTTTTGAGAATATCCAGCGGTTTTTAATAACTTTCTTATCGATGGGTCTTTCAACTAATTCCCAGACTTCATTAGCCTCCATTGAACTCAATTCTTCTGTCATTGCTTGTAGCCAGAATTCACTTTCAGCAGATTCTATAGCTTCATCATACGTCTTAGGTAATCCTTCATTTGTATTGTATACTACATAATCTTTTAATTTTTCTGGGGGCTTCGTAATTCGCGCTGGTCTTTTCTGTACAGGATTTCCATGATTATCATTTCCAGGTTCTTCATTTATTTGCGGATACTCGGTTGGCTTTTCCAATGAATTGTTATCATCGTGTTCATCATCACTATTGGATGGCAAAATTTTCTCAGCTTCTTCATCTGTTGTATTATCTTCTCTATAGTATCTGTTAGTTATTTCTGAATTATTCTCATTAGTTTGTTCCTTATAAAAAATAATAAGTTCTTCTAATATTTGATTTTTTATCGAAATTTAAATAATTTTCTTTTAGTAAAGGTGATCCAAGTTTCTGTTCATCAAATTTTACATCTCTCACTTCTTGAATTTTATTTAGTTCAGGGATATAAATTTTGTATGCTTTTCTCTTCATGCTATAGCCTATCATAATTCCCTTTTTAGCTTTTAGATCCATCTTTCTACGTTTTTCTCGTCTTATATGAACATATGCTTCACATCCAAATCTTTTAAGATAAGTAATGTTAGGCTTGCGTCCTTTATATGGTGTAAACCTTTTATCATTTTTGTGACTCCTGTTATTCACATGTACAGCTACTTTAACGCTTTCAGACCAAAATTTTATCAGTAATTCTGCATCAATTAACATAGTTCTAGCAGATTCAATTATAGTGCGATTAAAACGTTCAGCTTTTCCATTACTTTTCGGAGTATAAGGGGTTGTAAGTTCATGTTTAATTCCCATTTTTTCAAAAAATTCTTTTATATTTTTATCTAAAAACTCACTACCATTATCACTACGAATTCTTTTTAGTAATAATAATTAAAATTATGCTTTATAAACAAATACTATCAGTAACTGATAATATATAATTTCATATGTTTATGAGTTAAGGCAGGATTTACTTAGTCGAAATTGTTTTTTGAAATAAGTTTAATAATTGCTATTATTCTAACTATAGAAAGTTAAATTAAAAGTACACTTTTTAAATGCATAATTCTTTGTATGTAATGCTTGTCATGGTTATAAGATCCTTGTACTATTCTAAAACTACTCCATTTCTGTAGTTTTTTAAAGATATGCTTAAAAAATATGCTTGGTAAAATCCTAGTTTATGATGCAGCCTTGGCGCGACTTTGAAAATTATCGCCAACACCAAAAATGATCCAAAGAACGTCTATATATACACTATATACTAAGTGTGTATATACATAGTATATATACTATATACATAGTGTATACTATGTTTAACTATATATTTTCTTTGAATGACCCATTAACTACTCATCGTATATGTCCCATTTTTACTGCTCATTATAAAGTCGCCAAATCCTGTGTGCACCGGATACTAGGATTAAACCAAATGCATATTTTCAGTCGTATGTGCATATTAACCAACAACTATAAGTCTCTCTCTCCTTTTTTAAAAAAACCCTAATGTGTTGTGTTTAACTTCACTAAAGTTAAAATAGAAAGCTTGTTCCTGTTTAATACAAGCACTGAACTGATTAAATTTTAACTTCTTAAGTGGAAGTTTTTCAATGATTTACCAAAAAAATTTCTAAACCGATTAACTTTATTACAAGTTATGTTTTGGATATTCCAATTGTTAGTTATGGGTCAGTTACTTAGAAACATGACAACTCTTATTATCCTAATGCATTAACAATTTTAGAATTCATTGTAGACTTTTGTATGTTAGATGTAGAGTTTTTACAACTGCTATTCCCAGAGTGAAATCTTTTGCATCGTTGTGCAACAAATTAACTGCTTGAAAATGTTTTGCAAAAAGTATATCCTATACTAACATAGCGACAAGTTACTTAAATGTATAGTTATAAATTTGTTATGCATTTTCAAATTCCTTAAAATATAAAGTCTCTCCTTAATCTGTCCTCGATAAATATTTTTTAATGCAGTGCAAAAAAATTTTGCATTAGTTTCAGGTAAATTCTTAATAGATTGGCCTAAATAATGACAGTCCTTCACCTTTCCCAAAACAAGTTGGAGAATTTTGCTTCAGTTTTTTTTTTCTTTTTCTTTTTTTTAGTCTGTATCCTGTTAACTCAATTTGTTTATGAGGGCTATAAAGTTTACCAACTAAGAAATCTGAATTTTTGCAAGCATGAACATTTCTAACATTAAATTAAAAAAAAAAAAAAAAAAAAAAAAAAATCTTAAAGCTTTCAGATTTTGTATTACACCCAAAGAATCGTTTTCGGTTGATCTTTAGATTATGGTAACTTGGCGATTTTTTGGCGAAAAAAAATCCTAATTACTTTAAACTAAATCATTGCTAATAACAATTTTCCCAATAATACCAAATTACTTTACTTCCACCTTACATTTAGAACAATGCATAAAAATAATATCCTCAAATAATTAAAAATACTAACTTACCTAATCTTCTTCAGAATCTTGCTTACATGGTGGATACACTTTTATTATGGATTCAATAAAATTATTGAACAATTTTTTCTGCGAATTTTTCCTCCACACTTCCTCCGCTAAATAAAAAGCAAAATTCCCTTTATCACATCTAGAATTCACTTTAGACAGCGCCATACAATCCCAAAATTATTCAACCCTACTTCACACAACACACAATGAAGCTGAATACAAAATAATATACAGCCACAGATATTTTTCCAAATTCCCCCCTTTTCCGATTAAAGAACCGTAATTCGTCCATAAATATCACATGACATATCCCATGATCTCTCATTTCCCTCACAAAATAATGCGTAATCGGAACTGAGTACTGCTCACATTATTACCAAAGTCTCAGGTAGTAACCTTTATCGCCTCCAAAATGTCGCCAAACTACCAGTTACCATATTCTAAAGATCAGCCTTGTTTTCATTAGCACACAAACATATATATTTTGACAGC